ATTTATTCACAGATAAAAGTGTAAAACCTGTGCGAGGACAACAATAAACCTCTCAGCTAACTGTTACCCTTGTTTATCCACCTAATTTACAAGGCGATATCTTCGTTGTCTTTAGAGATAGCGGAATACTAAATACACCACTAGAAAGTCCGATCATTTCTTCATGTAAAACCGGATTTCGTCGTGTCAATATCATATTCTGTCGTTTTCCCCCCAAAAAACTGCAAAAACCACGTATAATTGCCGTATGTAAATGTTTATGGCGTCATAACTTTCTTATATGATATTGACAAACCTCAGGTACCGTATAGAACGTATAAGAAATTTTCCGCTCTCTACAGTGGTATATAAACTTAGTAGATCGCACGATTGCACAAGCAATTTCCCCCAAAAAACTGCAAAAGTTGCATATAATTGCCCTATGTAACCCTATGTGCCCTATGTACGACGTCATAACCTTCTTATATGATACCGACAAAACTCCGGGACCACATAGAGTGTATAGGAAATTTTCTGCTCTGTATAGTGGTATATAACTCTAGTAGATCGCATAGTTGTACAAGTATTTTCCCCCAAAAAACTGCAAAAACTACATATGATTCCAGTATGTAAATGTTTACGACGTCATAACTTTCTTATATGATACCGACAAAACTCCTGGACCATTTACAATGCATAGGAAATTTTCTGCTCTATACAGTGGTATATAACTTTACTAGATCGCATGGTCACACAAACATTTTTGCCAAAATATTTCAAAAACCGCTTGTAATACCCGTATGCAAATGATAGCATCATAACTTTCTTATATGATACAGACAAAACTCCGGGCCACATAGAATCCATAGGAAATTTTCTGCTCTATTCAGTGGCATATAACTTTAGAAGATCGCATGGTCACATAAGCATTTTTCCCAAAAAATTGCAAAAACCGCTTGTAATAACATGATCCTTGTACTACCATGCGATCTACTAAAGTTATATACTGCTGTCTAAAGCAGAAGATTACCTATATGATACTGCTTTAATTTTTTGTTCCCACCAAACAAAAAAGTTGTATTAAGAAAGGTCAATGTACCGATTCTATGTATAAGGTTTGTTTATAAGGCCTGGTTTTTGAGTACGCCCATAATATGTTCTTTTCAAATTATTCAAATTCTTTTATTCTTTTCAAACTATTTCAAATTACCGAGTATTGACAGGACAATACCCGGTGGTGTATTTAAAATTCCGCTATCTCTAATGACAACGTAGATATCGGTATGTAAACGGATTATACATAGATTTTTAAATATTAATAATGAAATATTTCCTTTCCCATTGGTTTTATACAAAGCAAGAAAATAATCTTTTCAAAGCAAATTTTTCAATATTCCTGCAGCAATTAAACCTAGTTCGTAAATATTTCTAGTTGCAATATTAAAAGTTTCCGCACTGATGCGAGTAAGATCTGCGTTGCGGCAGTAGGCCGGTGAATGGTTCAAAATTAAAAACGTGACTCCCACCGGAACAGCTGTCACATACTACATCACAAAGCTGCGTTAAATCTCTTCTAAATCCAAATCCATACATTTTCAACGTGTCACATTTTAATATAAAGTTTTAGTTTCTGTTTGATATTCGTGGCTATTAACCCACTTACTTCGTTTAGGTGAAGTTATAAAACCGTTTAGTTTGCAGGGCTAGATAACGACACCGAAAGGCGTTTCCAAAAAGCGAGTATATTTAAAAGGCGAGCACTTTTCCTGCAGCAAAAGTTACGGAACAGGTTAAGTGGGCACGACAAAGTGGCTTAAAACGGACGACGATCGATGCTTATTATAGCCCGTTAAGTGCACGGGAATCCGTTGTGCTACCTAACGCCATAACGCGAAGCAGAAAGCTTTCCCTTCCCGGGACTAAACCTTTGAAATTCAATCAAGGGTTCTCTTCAATGGCTTTTCGTGCCCAATGTGGAGAGGTCCACTTTGCTTTTCTGTGGTGGCCATTCTCTCCTTTTGTCAGCGACCCTATCTGTGTGGTATCAACGATATTCACTGTAACATGTTTAGAACAAAAATGTTGAAAAATAGTCTTACAAGAATATCCATTACGTCATCATCAATTATAAAAATGATATTTATAACTTATTTAGTTAAGTTAATAATGAAAAATGAATTGTTATGAAATTTCGTTAATAATTAAATAACGTAATAAGTCGTTGATTAATTAAATATATACCAAAGATGGGTTAGTCTGAACTTGCGCAGGCAGACGCTCAATCAATTCAAAATGGATTACAACCGGTCGTTGGATTAATTGAATTAAGCTAGCTCATCTGCCCACGCAAATTAGGTTTGTAGGTTTGGGACGTTCGGTGCTGAGGAAAAAAAGCGTTGGCATATTCAATTGAATTTCCTACGCCGAATTGCTCTTTGCAGCTGAAAATTGCATTTTACGAACTATTTTTTAGCTTTCGAAGCTACGCAATTAGCTATTTACAACTGGGGATTAATTAATTATGGATCAATTACGAACATATAATAACGTTAAAAATCACAACGAGTTTAACGAGAACAATTGAAATTTTCGGTTAAAAAATTTTAATTTTTACATAAAAACTTTTTCAATTTCCATTAATTTAACATCTTTTACATATTCATTTCGTAAGTAATGTTTGTAGCTTTATTTTATTAATATGTATAGATTATTGAATTGAAAAATAAGAATACCGTACCATAGCTTATTTTCAATTTTAATTAAAAGTTTCCTCTACAGCTTGGTGAAGCTAATCGATTTGAATTGAAGCCAGTTCGATAGCGAACTGAACGTAACGGGCCACTTCGTTAGCATTATAGCTTCCTTTCAAGAAAAAGAACGGTTATTACGTGAGTTCGTTTTACGTTGGGGATACAAACAAAAGACCTCCCTGTAATTATGAAAATGGAATTTGCCAACTCTGCAAGGTCGTCAAGTAAACGACAAAGGGTATAGTTCTTTTTGTAAATTGGCTTTCCACCAGCGGAGAAAGTTAAATATCGGGATTTAGAGGAAATAATTTTGAATGTAGATTATTTTCAGAATTGTTCGTTTATGTTATACGTCGTCTACAGAATATGGTTTAGTGGTTACTAAAATGTGCCTACTACAGCACGTTTTACATTTATGAATTACACGTTTGGCCAAGTTCCAAGCTTATTGTCGCGTAGAGCCAGAGGACCACACGAATATACATAGAACACCGAAGTTGGTCAGGATTAGATTACACACATCATATACTGAGAACCTACCTTTATTAGATGAGATAGCTACTTTGTTCCATTTTATGGTATATCGCATATTTAATTTTATTGTATTAATTTTATTTAATTTTTTTTTTCAGATAATTCTCAAGGAATAATTACCAAAAAAAAACACATCTTTTTGTAAATAAATAAATTAATATTTATTTAAAATATACACATTTTCAATCTCGCCCAATACATTCACTTTATAGCACAGTAAATATTTGTTTGTGCTAAATCTTCCCACAAAATATTCTATCCGATTACAGACAGCGTACTATTTTTCTTTCAGTCTATGGTAAGAATACCATTACTCTCCGATCCCAAACGTTATAACGTACTCGTTGCACGTGCAACGGCAGTGTGGTTTGCTCAAATCGATGCGACGTGGGTCAGCAAATCCTCTTGGACCAGATAATGATTCTAGAACGTGAAGTCCATTTTACATCGAGAATATCCGTGAAACCGTCCAATAAACAGCAATTCCATATGCTTTATTCAGAACAAATTTAAACTACGAACGTGTACCTTGTCACAGGTAATTATAACTTTAATAATCAATATAATAGCATTCGATATTATGTCCTCCGTATTATCGCAAATCCTATTATAGTCTATTAAGCACCTTGTATTATCGTCTGTGTAATTTGTACCTACAGGTCTCATAGGGAAATGACTTCATTGTTCAGACAAGACGCTTTTGTCCCTAAGATAATAGTGATTTATGTGTATTGATTGAATTAATTATTTATATATAATTATTACAGACTTTTAACAAAGATTAGAACTACTTTATTCCAGAGAAAGCAAAGTTTAATTTAAAATTCATTAATTATTAAATTAACATAATGTTATTATTTGTTAAGTTTGATTAATCAATACAACAAAATCAAAATAAAAAGTTTTCTTGCTGAAATCGCTGACTTCTTTTAATCGTGTTTCAAACTGACGACGTAACAAGAGGAAAACCGAACTGAGGAAGAAGTTAGCGAAAGTCCACCTCCGGCATCGAGCGTCCTTTAGTTTGCTACAAATGTTCGAAACTCTTCTGAACGGGCTCGCAATTGTTTAAGTAGATTAAGCTAAATGAATTCCTTGGAAACTGCGGTTTTATTTGGCACGAAAAGTTACAAATGCAGATTTATTCCCTGAAACCTTTGGCAAATTGCACCCATTTTGTTTTTGTTGCTTGTTAATTAACCGACCTAAGCGGGTTTTATTTGCTTCTATGATAAAACTGTTTTATAAACCCCGAACTCTAGACGAACGAACGAAAATAATTATATTTGGTATGCGAAGTGGTTTTTAAACTAGTACCGTAGATCTAGTCTAATTGAATTGGAAATGAATCAGCTTGCAAAAAATCGAAGTTCCTTCTAACCCGCATTTATGAAAACATTAAACGGGAGTGTGTACGATTGATGATGAATTAACCTACTGCGTTATACAGTTAATGTGAACACAAACTTAGAAATGGAATGGAATAACCGGAATTTAATGGTAACCTACATCGCGTGATATCATGCCGTATTATATACGTATTCCCGAACGTTCTCCACCTATCTAATGGTTTTCATTGTTCAGAGATCTTTTGTCTAACATAAGTGGATTTAGTTGAAGAGCCATTAATCGACACGGTACATCTTGCCTCTCTATGAACTCTGCGAGGATATTAATTAAATTTTATCACTCAAATAGGATGAGAAACTTCCTAGATATAAAGTACTCAAACAACAGTTAAGTGGATTAATTAACTTTAATAAAAAATATAAATACAATTATAAATGTTGGATGTTCGACTTCTTTTATGTACAATTTATCCTAAAATTCCACGAGAAAAATACACCATCTTTCCGAATTTCAGAAATGGGGATAATAAGATCTATTCCAAAACGAGAAGAGTCTTATAATCTATAGAAGTATAGTAAAACCTCGATATTGTATATTCTTATTGAACTAAAACTAGAACTAGGTAACACTAGACCTAGAATTAGAAAGTTTCGGGTTTAGCCGTGCGTATTCAGTTTTAGAACTAACTTTAGTGTTAATTCTCGTTTTATTTGTTATTTAGGGCTAGATTGTTATATATTGTTATTGAACTAAATGTAGAACTAACACTAGAACTAGTTCTAATGTTAGTGTTATTTTATTGTTTTAGTTGTTATTCAGCGTTAGATTGTTGTATAATTTTCATTAAACTAAAACCAGAACTAACACTAAAGGTAGTAGAAGACTTTTGGCTATAACTGACGCTCCCTTCCAGGTATTAATCCGTTATATCGAGATTTTACTATAACAAAGTAATTTCTTATTGAACACATCATCAAATATAAATATCCCTTTAAAGAGAAACGTTTATATTAATGAGTTAAACTTGGTGGATTTGATTGGCATGATTGAAAAATTGATTTAAATGGTTTAATTCCCCAATAAATCCAACTTCCAAAGTATGCTGAACGATTCACCCATAATGGAATATTTTCTTTACAAATAATCTGAAAATAAATTAAACTATAAGTTGATATAAGTAATTTTTTCTCGAAAATGAATGAAATGTGAAGTATTTCAAGTATAATGACTCATTGATAAAACGATAACGTTATCTTAAGGCACAATTAATACAACAAATACACATAACTTACATTTGAAAATTCATTTGAGAAATGATTGCAATTTCTGTTTGTTAAATGATAACTATTTCCAGGAAAATCCAATTCCAATTTACGCAAAACATCTTCAATTTGATTTCTTGAAAGTGCTGTATATCCAAGAAGAATACTTTCTCTAAGAAATATTAAAATCAAAGATTTGGAGATTATTAACTAAAAAAATTATTTCGTACCGAAATTTAAATTGGTGCCCTAATTGTGTATCATCATTTGGCGACATTTCAAAAACCCCTGTTGTGTTATCTTCATGCCCAAAAAATGTGTATTCGGTGTTATAAACTGCAACTCCTAAATTGGTGTATTAAAAATTATTAAAATTAATAAATCATTAAAACAAATTAAGTATTACCTGAATGATAAACACCTAATCCTAGATTAGATGTTACACTACTTGCAGTAAATACTATATCATAAACGTTTAAAAAGACGGGTTCCATAGCAATTCAAATTTAAAACGAACTAAATTGTAACTTAAAGATAGCTACAGTGATGATATATTAAACAGTTACTTACATTTAATTCGTACACATCTTATCAGTTATTATGATTATGACTAATATAAGACAAACACTGAATACAAATAATACTCATGTTATCCATTTTTTATCAAAAATTAAATATAGAAAATTGAAAAAAAAACATTTTTGATTTAATTAAGTGCTATTAATAACTATTAATTTAAAATTGGGTTAAACAGATCATACAAATTAATTTGGGTAGAATCGATTATGTCGAGATGCAATTTAGTTCCTTAGGTAATTTAACTTCTTGCATTGGATAGAAGGGCGGAACGTACGGCGGGGGAAATAAATCAGTGAAGTAAATCGCAATTAACGTAAACGACATTAAAACTTAAGACCAGGCTTGTTCTGATAATGCACTAGTTAGAACTCTGGGATCTATAAAATCGATATTGTTAATTCTGGCGGTGTTCCGAAATGCGCAAAGTTATTCTGCAACCGCTTGCAACTTCTCTCCGGATTGGAACACCGTGCGCTGATTGTAAACTTTCTAATTGTACCGTATTTTCCCTGTATGTCTATAAATAATTATCGACATTGTTGCTTGGGTAGTAGGTAACCGACCTTTCGACGACAGCAGGCGTATTATTTCTCTAGGTTGAAAACACGCGATCTGACGCAGTTGCCCCTTGATATAAGTGCTAAAATGTTTATGAGATCGTAAAAGAGGAACATTATCCTTATTACCCTTTTACAACCTAGAATATCTCCGCCGACGTCCTGCATTCCTTTGCACTATTTTAGTACCAGTAAAGTAGCTATCGAAAGGAGGTTGCCCGCAAATTTAGTATGATAACTATCTAACGCATTTATTGCCAACGTAAAATCTTCAAATCTCTATCAGATTCTTATGATTTTATAAACATTATACATAAAAGAACTATCTTTGTAGTCATGTAACATAAATACATTATAAAATTTTCTTGAAAATGTTATATTTTATATCCAATTTAATAAATCGACTATTTATCATTCGCTTCGACGAGCCAACAAAAATTCTTAACAAGTATAAATCGTTTCGAAGTCACACCAACTTTTCCCCGCCATAGCTATTGTCCCTACGCAACATTACTTACACCCCGCAGCGCTAAAAGAGAAAATTGCTATTAAAGTACCTCGGTGCTCTTTCGAATAAATTATAGTTGATGTCTTTGTAACCTTAACGAATGATTTATATTTCAAAAAATTTAAATAAATAAATTCATGTTTATAAATATACTTTATCTACGACTGCTTGGATAAGTCGTCATTACCGCACTCATTTGAGGTGATTTGAGTTACGTAATGAAGTTCATTACCACACTGGTTTTATTACGTAACGCATTTTTAGCCTAATCAGAACAGACTTAATTTATTGAAACGAGCAACAATACAAAAGAAAAAGTGCTATCTACTTACAAAAAAACAATACTATTTATTATAAACATTCATTGTTACGTTTTTACATTTCAAAAGACTTATTCCAGATGAGTAAACATGTTGTTGAAACTGACAATTCAAAATTGTCAACAATCATTTCAGAATATTTTTATAAATGTCAAATAGACTTTTTTAAAGAAATTGATTTTTTAGTAATTTTTAGCAGTCGTAGATAAAATGCTGTATATCACACGTGGGCTAGTGCATAATTACAGTACTCGTGTGATTACACGAGTACTGTGTTCTTCAGACTCGTACTTATGTTTATAGCCCACTTGTAATATAAATAACTATTATAGTTTATAATACCTTTATAGTATCACAATAAGAGTCATTAATGCAGCTTAAAATTGAAATGAAAACAATTGTACTTCAGTCACTGATCTGTTTGCTTATGTAATATACGTGCAACAGACTTAGTCATATTAAAGTTCTGTATTCACTAGAAACCAAAATTGGCGACAAAACTGGCAAACAGTACTTCATAATTATTACTCCAAAAGTGGAAATAGTTGGAGGATAGAGATAGAGATTTGAAAAAACAAGAACGAAGAACGAAAGAAGAGGAGAAATACAATAATAAGTATAAAGTCACAATGACGGAGGAATTTTATATTTGATGGAGAAGGGTAGAGGAAATGAAGAGAGACTGATGAAGATGATTGGGAGATAATTAATCATATGCTGAGGTGTGACGCTTTGTGGATGGGTGGTATGAAATGAGAACGCGTACTGGATGGGAGGAAAGGATAGAACGTGGATGGCGGAGGTGATGAGGAAGAGAGATGATGTATGATGGATCGATGCCTATCTTCTACTTGGTGATGATTCAACAAACAACACGGTGTGAAATGTTCAACAATCATGTACCCTGTAATCCTGCTTCGAATATATTTTCTTAAAATATGTAACAATCATAGTTAATTTCTATCAACATTTAGTATAGTTGCAGAACACCGGAATCGACTTCAACAAAGGGAATTGGAGTTCAATGCGAAAAGCGAATATTGCTATCTCATTACGTTTCCAGTCAGCAACTCATTGCCATCAAAAACTGTAAATGAAACCAAACGATTATATTTTCAAATTGATGAAACAAATTTCTTTGGTCATTGTGTTTACTATGTCAACTATAATCTTCAATTCACTGGGTCCACCTGTATGGACATTATAATTCTTTGGTACATCGTTCAAGGCATAATATTGCAGAGGCGGTATTTTACTTCCTAGCTGGAATAATGATGTCGAGAGTTTGAAGTTTGTATGCTTTGCACAGTCTGAACCTTTTAGGAAAGTAAGAATTTTAGCATTTAATAAAGATGAAGTTTTCTGATATTAAACAAATTTAGAAAAATATATAATGTGGACAAAAGTGGGATTTACAAGTTCTACTAAAATTCCTGGGGACTTTATAGTCATTGTCTGAAAAAGGATGGATTAATTCTTGTTTCAAAATTCTTTAGAACACTTCAAAAATGTTGGAAAACTATCTCATAAAGATTCAGTTTGTTTAGGAATAGACATTCATGTATTTCGTTGCACTTTTGAGATTGCAGAACACGCAGAAAACACGTAAAAATCCTTTAATCAGGAATGTTTTCAATAGATAAAAAATAATACTCTTAAAAAAATTACCCCTTTCTAAAAGACATCGAAGTTTCGCACGAAAGAATAACAATTCTTATCGTGAAGCGCACATTGACCCTTTATTTCCTACTTAGTCGTCGTTGGGCAAGATAACTTTCACGCCATTTACGGAACAAATTGAAGAATCTGGCAGCCTTGTAGTAAGAACTCAGAGGTGAATTCATTTTCAGCTATCTACCTGATAAGAATCCTCCATTTAATGTTTAATATCTGAAGTGTTCTCTCGAAAAAGGTTTATAGCCCTCGGTTGCTAGGTGATACTTAGAGATTTTTCTGTAGCTGAAACAAATTATTTTTCGAAATCAAAGTCGTTCTTATCAATTTAGTTAAAATTTTTATTATGTTGCTAAAACTTTTCTCAAAACTTTGAAATATTGTTAATATTATCAGAAATTATTAAACACGCGATATAATATAGACTAATAAAGCGAAAGCTTAGCGCGAAGGGACTTTAATCTTATAGATTTCCCAGAGTTTATTAAGATTACTAGAACTAGGTTTAAATTTGATCCACGCTTCCCAGAGGACATGACCACGAAAAGACGGACGACCTTGGATTATTAGTAATCTAATCTGGTAATGCAAGCAACCTAATTTATTTACATTGTAATCGATTAGCTTAATGCACTCAAATCTCGACGTCGCGATCGTTGGTAAAAGCTCTTACAATAATGCATTTAATATACCTTCATAGTCTATAATTAATTGTAAAACAAATCGACTAGAATGAACTTTGCAGGATAATCAACTACCTGAAAATGAAAAGCAAACCAACTCGATGTCTTTTTATTATAAAAAGCTTAGGTAAATACATTCACCTTCCCCAAAAGCACACACACGCCCACGGCACCCTACTTTATCAGCTGATTCATACTTCCTCCAGCCAAAAGAATGAACATTGTCAACTGGCGTATTTTTTTTATAACGTAACGCCCTCCCGCTGTTCTTCTTTTTCGATCTTTGTTCTAACGACGACGTTCGGTTATCTTTGTTTGCTCAAACTAAACAGGGCGTGTTTGCACCCAAGGTAATGGATTAATTCAGTGCTTAAATTGCGAGGTAGTTCTTACTTTTATATTTTTTCATCTTTTGAACTAATAACTTTAATTCAATATTTTTGATAATTTTAAATTGAAAAAGGAAATGTTTTGTACGAATAAATTTTGATAGAAGGGTGTGTGTTGTTGTACGTGGTTAAAGGCAATATATTAAAAATAATAAAATTGGGCTATTGATGTGGACTATCGTATTTGAAAGGCGTAAAAACCGCTGGGTTAACATAAAGCTAAACATAAAGCGTGGGTGGTTTGTGAAACGAACATAGCAGGTTGTCAACGGATTTTATAATTTAAGCACGTATCCCGAACAAAATCGGGCCAATAACTACGGATTCGGTATAATTAAAACAACAAGAGCAGGTGTTCCTGAAAATATTACCCATTTCAAACTGAAATTTGAAATATATATAAAGTAATATTAACACATCGATTTAAATTAAATTCTAAGTAATATTAAGGATTGTAATGTTTTTAATTATTTATCCAAATTATTCGTGATCTACATATACTAATTTCATCTGGTTATATAGCAGGAAAATGGTGAGGTCATTCATTTTCGGTACTAAAACTATGTGGATTGAAACTACAAGTAAAACCAGAGCGTTTTTTCATTCAATAACGTTTCCTTTCTTTAAAGTTTAAGTAGTTGTATACTGCAGTTCTGCGGAAAACTGATATGTTATAAACCTCTATCAGAAGTTACGCAAGTATGCATGATGAATACCACTTGAGTATTGAATCGGAGTACAAAACGATGCAATGAAAATTTATTTGTGTAGGCTTAAATAGACCCAAATTGACTGTAAGACGATGTAATGGTACGTTGCCAAAGTTATTGCAAGTAAAGAAGGGTTAACAATTGAAACATAGTGCC